GCCAGCATAGCTGCTTCACAACTGAAAACACTTTTAAACACAATCTCTTAACATTGTGGGCCTTATTCACAAAACAAAACAAACAGCAAAGTGAAGTTGTCAGTTTTGAAGGATTTGAGGTAAATGTCTATAAGGTTCATTACTGGAAAAATATGGCCTTGGAGAAAGATGTCTAAGACTTAACTACAGAGTGATTGAATTAATGTATCTAAAGAAGGAGGCTACTAGTAGGTACTGAATGGGTCGGCCTAGAACAGAGAAAAAAAAGGAGCTCCCAGACACATGTAGAGAGTGGAGTCCAAGCCAGTATGGGGAATAGAGAAATTTAACAAACGAATTTTAAGTATTTATAGCCCCATTTGAGCTCTTGCCATTAGATATCCTATTCATTAACTTTCACTTACTGTATACTTAAAAGCACCATTTTTTTTCTACAGGGAAATAATGGGCTGCTTCTTCAGGTTTTATTTTTAATCTTGTTCAGTATAGCTTATTTTAGAGATAATTGCACTGTAAATGCTTAAATTATCCATTTATTCTGTAAGTATTTATTTGCTATTTATCAAGTGCCTATTATATGCCACTTTCTAGATTTGTACCTGGGTATTCAGTGGTGATCAGAACAGAACTAGTTCCTGACTCTGACTTCATAGTTTCTACTTCAGTAGGGTAGACAGGTTTAAATAAACATGCAAATATACATATATAAACAAAATATAATAACTATACACACATTATCTCTGTATCTATATTCTATCTATCTATCTATCTATCTATCTATCTATCTATCTAATCTATCAATGTATATGCAGAATAAGATTCTCAACAAATGAGATGACAGATCCTGGACCATATAAAATCATCAGGATGATGAGGCTTCTTGGAAAAATCCACCAACATTCATCTAGCATATGTTCCTGCATTAGTTTTCCTATTTTAAGATTCCATAAACACCCCTATCAAAAGTCAATGAGAAAAATCACATGATATAATGTGCGTGCAGCATCCAACACTGTTAGATAGATGCTGGTCTCTTTCCACTCCTCCTCCTACAAATTATTCCAATTCTAACTTTAAAAGAATGTTTCCCATCTCTCTTAACAAATAATTGCCTGAGCAAATACCAGAAGTGTGAAATTATAGTTGTAAGCACAATGCAGAAGAAAGAAAAGTTGAGTCAAGTTTTTCTACCTAGAATAACAGGCAGTAGATCATTCCTTGATGTAGCACTTACATACTTTCTTTTTGTTAGAATTCTATGACGAGACAGGTGCAGGAATAAAGACATAGCACACACAGAAGGAAATCAACTCAACAGCATTGAATGAAATGCCTGACAACTTGCAGTAAAGAAATTCTACTTATAATCTATGGCAAAATCCAGATTAAAAATTATTTGAAAAATATGAAGGGAAGTTATAATTTTCAGTTCATCTTGAATTAAAAACTTGGAATCTATAAAAACAAAAAAATATGTACAGCTTTACTTCCACATTTTATGAATCATACTGATGTTCTTTATACTAATAAAAATAAAAGAGTAATAAAAGAAATGAGTTACTAAGCTAGTACGTTAAGCCACTATAATGAATGGTAATGGGGTATTTTGTTGGAGTTGAAGATCAATATGATTTATTACCAGATGCTCTACTGATAAAGCTGATAATGTAATAATCAGAGAAGTGAAATTCACCTAGAGCTTCACATATGTTTTCATCTTTACTTACAAATTTAATTTATTGTAGCTTTATCTGATATACCATCTCCTCAATACAGGCAAACCCAATGGGACATATTATTTAGTGTAACTTTTATGTACTAAAGTCCACAATAATACAAAATCTATACAGCATAAAAAATAGAAGAAACACTCTGTTGTAAAAAATAAAATAGCCTACATGAGATAAACCACTTTAAATATCACACATTACTTTTGGTCTATCTACAACTCACTGGTCTTTTGTCAATCCGTGGCGGTGTTTCAGTCCTTCCTATAATCAGGACTTGATCCACTGGCTCCTGTGTGCTCCCACAGGGGAGCATTGTGCTCCCACAGAGATCTTACCACCTCACACTCTCATTTCTCTCTAACAGCATTGTCTCTGACTTCCTAATGATTGCAGCTTTCTGCATCTTCAAATCAATCCTGGTCTGTCCTTCATAGTGACGATCGTTTTTTTTTTCAAAAAACCCTTTTCGCAGATAAACGAAGCCCCTTCCTCTCTTACCTATTCTGGCCCTCTGCTGCTTTTACTGAGTTCGCTTGGGTTTCTCTTTTCTTGTTCTCCTTTCTATTGGCCATTTCATGGATTTAACCATCAACTTTTATTTTGTATTATTAATTACTTCAAAATCTTTGCCTCAAGTCCTTGTCTTCCTCCAAGTTACCACAGTCTGTATTATTTTGATACCTCTAAAAGTCCCATCGGTGCTTCAGGATTTCACAAATTTTGTTCACCGTCATCTTTCTTCCCAACTTTTGTTCTGCCCTTTAGCCTCTTACATGCAATAATAAAACCACCAGTTCCCCATCCCTCACACTTAATTATGGCATCATCTTTGGCTCATTTTTCTCCATTAGTCCCTCATCTCACCAAATACCCAATCCCATGAATTCTGCTCCTATATTAACTACCCTACCTGCTTTTACCCCACAGCTACACAGCTCCTGCTTTTATGACATCTCCCCTCCATCAACATGATAGCCACCCTAAGGAGGCCTCTTGCCTGGCAATGGGGTCTTTTGCCAACTGCTGGCGCACAGCTGTAAGATTAATTCTTGGAGATTCAGATTAAAACTCCTGTTTTCAAATGCATTCCAAATAAAGACTTAGGTCCTTATACTATCTAGGCCTTCTATGAACTGGCTCCAGTCTACCTTTCCAATGTTATTTTCCTGCATTCTCTCGGGATCCAAATGCCATACTGAGCCCCTGTTTGGTTGCATTTTGCATTTCCATTGTTAGTGCCTACGCTTATGATGTTCTGGTCATTATGAAAGCCCTGTCCTCATTTTTGCATTTCCATTCAATACCAATTCTTCAAGGCCTATCTCGGATGTTACCTCTTATAATAAGACTTCAACGATCAAAGTAACACTTATTGAATTACTACTATATACTAAGCATATGTATTATTTCACTTCAAATGAACAACAACCCTTATGTTCAGGTGAGGAGACAGGCTTGCAGAGGATAAATAACTTGCCTACAGTCTCACAGATAGTGAATGGTAGGTGGACTTGTGCTTCTAACTAAAGCTTTCTGCCTTTAATTAACCACTGTAACTTGACCCCCACTTTACACCCTCTGCATAAATGCCTTGAACTTCATTTGTTCCCCTCTTACAACGTGTATTAATTTGTACCTCATGTCATAGCTTTCAATTTGTGTCCAATTTGCTAGTCACTTGATGGAAGATCTCTGGAAAATTCGTGCTGCCTTTTATAACAGTAAGTGTTTACCTAATAAATGCTGTTGCCTGGATAGATAAATATATTATTTCCCTATTTGGAAACTTACTATGTCTATTATCTAGTTCCTCTTATATTACCTCTCCTGATTAAGATAAAATCCTTCATTAATCTGTGGCTTTAAAATTATACGTAGATGTCTTTTCTGAGGCATTATTTTGCATGATGCCTCAACACGCACCTATTACTCTAATTAGGATTGACTGTACAATCTCTAAAACATAATGCTCACCACCACCTCTGTCCTTCATCCCTGACATTTCTCTTTTGTGCAATGTCACCCACCTCTTCCAAAACGATATATTATGCTTTTTTCAAGGTTCAGCTAAAAAATTCTCATAAATGTCTTCCATGAGCAAAGTAGCTTCCATTGACTAAAATTTCGATGACTATAATATTATGTGCATACATTATTTCATGTCTTTGCCAAACCTCCACAGATTCTAGCGTCTTCCCAGATGATCATGTCTTACACTGCAAAGCTCTAAGAATACTTTTAAGTACATATTAGATATTTTAAATAATGTTAGTGGGTCTTGTGAATTAACGTTATTCACATGTAAAGTAAATTAGAGCAGTTAACTGGCAAAAAATGCATAGTTTTTGAAAATAACTTAATTTTTGTGCCTACTATGTAGACTTATAAGGACTTAATCTTACTTTACCATTTCGATTCAAAACACTCAAAACTATTTATTTAAACTTTGGAACTGAACTCTAAAATAATAATATGATGAGCTGAGTGGCTATGAGGTGCTGTCTTAGTTAATGGATATTGAGGTAAAGATTTTCCCCTAATGCTTTCTTCTCAAGGTGAGAAAAACAGTTCATTTGACATCTTACATGACCTTGTTTTATCCACATGACTTCTATCTGGCAAGGACAATGCACCCAGCAGCTGCATACAAAATAGATATGAAATTCTTTGCCAAGACAATTTAACTTTTGATAGAGACAGCCATTGGTTCAAATAGGTTAAAATGCTCACTAATTTAAAAATCTTATATATTTTGACTTTATAATTATATCTTTTTTATATTTTATGGTAGACCATACAATAGTCAAAACAGCGACACTGCTTTATAAAAGTGAGCTCTTAAAGAGGCAGAACATCATCTAGTTCTGTCGTTCCTATGATTTATTACCCCAGTTTGGTCCTTCTTTTAGAACCTGGACAGGAGCAGATCTCCAGGTCCAAATGGTCAGACTATGTACAACCACTCTTATTTTTTCCTAAATAGCCTACTGACACCTTCCCAGTGAAAAGGGAAAGAACTATTTATTCTGAAAGTGCATTCTTTTTAATTCTACCTATGTTAAAAAAAAAAAAAAAAAAAGAAGAAAAATCCTAACCTCTTCAACAAGGTAATTTCTTCAACAGAGTAAGGCTCAGTACAATTCTGCAAGGAATATCTGTCTAAGTTAGTTGATGCATATTTGTCTTCGATAAACCCAGAGTCTCTAAAGAAAGTCATGCTTTGGGTCACTGTGGAGGTGGAGAGATGAGAGGGAATTTCAGGGCACATACATTTCTGTGATGGTCTCTGGCAGATTCGTGGGGATCTCAGTGAGACCTTTCCCACGACAGTCTACGATATTGTTGCTACAGGTACAAGCAGCTGGACAGTGCAAAACACTGCAAGAAGGAGCCATAAATGACTGGTGACCTGAAAAAGAAACAAACAACAATAACAGTTTCCCTCCTGAAATTCATCATTGTGAAATTTATGAGTTCATCTCAAACAACAAAACATGTTATTTAACAGAAACGTATTTCTCTAAATATCTGAGCATAAAATGGGCCTATATTTCTAAGATATATTTTAGGAAGCATGCATTTATAGTTCTGGGTCAACACTCAGATGAAGCAAATGAGATTCTTAAAACTAATTATGAAAATGATAATTTTCCCACTTGAAATAATTGTTAAGAAAGGCTAAACTCAGACCGGAAACTAGAATTTGATTCAAAACGATTCTGAGTTCCAAAAAAAGCAGCAGTGTCAGACTAACCTATATTTCATTTCTAATAAGCTTGAAGAGAATTTGGTCTTTACTAAATGTATGTAGCATAATGTACTGTACTTTAAAAAAAGAAAGGAGAACAGACATAACTGTTGATTCTAAATAAGTAATTGTGTATCAATAAATGTGGGGGATATTAGATCTTGCTAAGCTTCAAATCTTGGTAGGTTCAAAATCTGCCTTTTCTCTGAAGTTATAATAGTTTGTAACAAGCCATTTTGTAATTGTTAAGCTAGGTAGTTCTATTTTTGGCTTTCATAGCCTGCGATTTTAGCATTAAGTAGTTACCTGTGTGTATGTATTTTTACTACTCAGTATTTGGAAACAAAACTGTTTTGAAATGAGATTTCACTGTTGGAATGATGAACGACAGAATGGCGGCCATGCTGTACTGAATGGGAATCTGCACACACTCAGTTTACTGGAGCAGGACAAACCCTCTCTGATCTGCAGGGAGAGGGCCTGAGCGATCAATGTCAGGAAGGGGCTGCAGGCCAGTCACTAACCCAAGCCCTCTTAACAAGCTCTCAAACGTTACAAAAATAGTCTCAGTCTAAAAAAGAAACATGAACTTGCCTTCTTCCTCATCTAGAAAACAGGAAGGGAAAAGTGAAGAGAGAAAAAAAGTGGTTAGTAACAGTTTGTTAGTCATTTCATTATTTAATTTTCTTAAAAAGCAATCAGACCTAAGGAGAACATTCCATGTCATTATAAGAAAATTTTGTTTGGGTTATAAAAAGTGTGGAGAAGTACACAAAAGGGTCTAAAAGATAACGATAAATGAGAATTCTGTACTCATATGTCTTCAATCCTCTAAGGAACTATTTGTGATGTGTTATATATCTTTAAACATTTTGTGTGACTGTACCTTGAACAGACACTTCTGAAGCAGAACTATATATATATATATATGTATATATATATATACACACACACACACACACACACACACACACACATATATATATGATAAATTATGCTAATATGGATCAGGTAATATTAACATAATATTTTATAAATAAGTATAAACATAAATATAAATATATATGAATTGGCAATCAGACTGCCTAAGCTTGAGATCCATGGATTCAACTATATGACCTTGGACAAGGCTACTTAGCATCTTTTTCCTCAACAGTTTAATCTCTAATATAGATATAATATTATATCTCACTACAGTTGTTCTAAGGCAGGTGAAATGAGCTAAGTATATGTGAAATACTTAGGCTGGTGATCAAACATATAGAAAGAACTAAGTAAATGTTACTTGATATTTTACATAGGTCATGCCTAATTTTCGTTTTCAGATTTTCATCACTAAAGCTACTCATTTATCTCTTTCCTGTAGAGGTGAACCACTAGTATGCACGGAAAGTGCTTTGTCACTCTGCAACTACAGTTGAGATACTTTCCTGAATTTTCCAGCAAGATGAATCATATTTCCATTTGTTAACATAAAAGTAGATCTAAATTATTACATAACAGCAAAATAAGTAGCAAACAGAATTTAAATCTAGGAATCTCCTATATTTCCCCAGGAGTGAAAATTGAAAAACCTTTCATCATACATTAAGCACGAGTAATCTGTAATGGCCAATCACTCACAAATGTCTTAGAACATATTATCAATATCACTGAAACCGAGGATTTCCATGGAGTGATTAGTGCACAATTGCACATGTTAGTGAGCAAAACACTGAAACTTTTAAAGCATGCGTTCTCCACAGCTCTCTTACATAGAAGCAAAAAATAATATGACAACATAAAGGTTCTTTCTCTCTTACCACTGCAGACAAATTCTCGTTTTTGAACCTCAGCTACATTATGGCCCCTCAGGTGGGATGGACCCATACACTGAGTGTAGAGACCAACCCGGGGCCTTTGTCGCAACCAGTCAGAGAGCCAGGCGAGGTGACAGTCGCAATATAGGTTGTTCGAATGGAGGCGACTACATAAGAAGAAGGGACGTTTAAGGCAAGAAAACAAAATAGTTATTCCAAGAATTAAAAAATGTATTAATAATAATATGTAACTTTATTTCTTAACATGTAAGTAGATAAAGCTTAGTAAGTCCCAACCTAATTATTTTTCTAAAAATGATGAGAATCAACTTACTCTTCATTTACTGCCAAGTTAAGCAAATATACAGAAGCTTGAACACGACCATAAAAATAGTTTTCTTATGTTCACTCAAAACGGTAAAAAGAAATAGGTATGTCCAAGGCAAATTGCTTTGCAGTCCCCACATACTGGTGGCCAATTGGGGTGGGGTGGGGGCGGGGCCATATAAATAAAAGTTGTGGCTCCCAATATGAGTTATCAGTTAGTCCTGCTGTTGTTAGTTTCTGTAAAAACTGCTTGCAAAATCTTTTTAGAAGGTCACTTTCGTTTTTTGCTGAACAAGATAGAATAATAATTCAATATAAAACACTTCTTTCATGTCCCTATTCTGATTTCCTTCTTTTTGTTTAATAGCAGAAAAAGGGATTAGCTGCTTTGGGCTCTTGGGACCCTATCCTCAAAGAGCAGGAACTGAAATGAAAAGACATAAATGGCTAGGAGTGAAGGAATTAAGTGAGCCCCCTCTCTATGTTGGCAGTGATCCATACCAGAGCATGGATCCATTCCAAGTGGCAAATAGCACTTTTCCATTAATAAAATATCAGACAAATGTATCCACTAAATTAGGTAAATGACTTCAAATTGGCTTTTATGTTTTCTCAAACTAAAGAAAAGGACATCCAAAACTATAAATCAAAGCATCATTTCCAGAATCATCTATGACACAGTAATACCATTTTAGTCCTTTTTAGCTGATGTGCTCAATTCTAACCCAATAACAGTAATGGATATTAAAACATGGAACTCAGTCCAGAAAGATAATTGGACCATAAAAGTGGAATTTTTAAGTAGCAATGATAATATAGAATAATGAAACACCAAAGCAAGGGAATTTCAAGTTAGATAACTATTTTACATTCTCCTTGAGCCTGTGTAGATATGGAACAGACTGTCTTGCATCAAAACTTAGACGGCGTGCCACCAAACATAATGCCACATTGCTACATTTTGGGAAAGCTGGGTGACCTCCGGTTCAGTTTGTTTGGAAGTCAGAGTGGCATCCTTTGGAAACCGCTTAGCACACTCCACCTCGCTGTTCTCTAAATATTTTCATCTAAACCAAGCACGTTACAATAATCCAGTTAGGTGTGTACAAATTTGAAATGAGAGAACATAAAACTTTAAAAACCTGATTAGCAAGACAAACGCTAATGGATTTCTGTAGGAAAATAAGGCATACTATCAAAAACGTGGATGATGGATATTTCTACAGTCTTGGTGGCTTTATTTTCTCAAGGATTAAGAGCTTGTTCAGTTTGTTTTTACAAATCAGCTAAAGGTAATGAGGAGCTAATTTCATCAAATATAGTCTGAGTGAACTATATTTGGTATTAATTTGGTCAAATTAGGCTCAACTGAAGAGTACCAAGGAAATAAAATTTATGTTATATCTGCATACTTTGAGAATTTCTTTATTTTGTTAAGTCATATTCCAAGGAAATGATCATGTTGTGTTGTATCATATACAGAGCTACATTTTAGTGAGAGAGGGAAAAAAAAAAGGACTTTAAGATTGGTGTTACCTAATTCATTAAAAAGCTGGCAATTCAAATGATTTTTCACTAAAGAGAAAAAAATAAAAGCTATATGTTTCCAGTTATAACCTACTGTAAAATGAAAACTATTTTGAAAACCCAATCAACATTTATGTTCCCTACTTAAAAACACATATTATTCCAGAACTCCAAAGCTTTGGTTATGTTTCCCACCATTTCCTACATGTGGTATATAATGTATTTTTAAGGTCAAGGTGATTCTTAAACCCCATTCAAATGAGATTTATCTCTGAAAATGCTTTAACTAAATATCCCCATGCTGAGCTTTAAAGATTATTTTTTCTCCAAGAGAAAAAAAACAGTTGTAGCAAATACTTTACTAGGAAACAAGTTTTTATTCACCTAAAATATGTTAATGTCCATCTCCTGAAAAGATATTTTTAAATAAAAATGCTGACACAACCTTAATTATAGAAGCACTGGAGGGTTATGGTGTAATTTTACATTACAAAGAATGTTGGAGAGCCAGTTTAGCTTTATTAGGTCGGCTTGCTGTACAGTAATAAAATCATAAAGATTTACCATTTATCATTTCTGACAGCCAATCAAGGAGTCTTACATTTCTTAATGAAATGTGACCTCCACAATAGCTCAAAGTAAACGTCCCCCCTCCAACTTTCCATAATGCATATCATTTAAAGGAAAGCCTTCATGTTTTCAGAATAATAGTTCATTTATTCAAATACCATATCTAGTACTTTTTAAAAAGTGGTGTTTTCCTGGTCTACCCCATAATGAACTTGTGGTACTGTTTTTTGTTTACTAAAAATGGTACTTAAGGGGAACCCTTAATTGATGACATTGACATATATACATTGCGGCTACTTACAAAGTCCTAAGTTTAGGCATATGGTTGAAACTTGCCACAGAAAGTCTAGTAATGTTGTTATTGTTGAGAGTGCTGTAGAATAAAACAAGAAAAGTTAGAAATTTTAGGTAATTAAAATTTGCTGATCATTCTATATGATAATACAGAGAATGCTTCTTGCAACTATGTTTATGCAGGGCAACTATCTGGTAGAGACGGCATAAAGAATGCCCCAGGTTATAAACAAGAGGATAAATAAATGCCATACTTTAACACTTTACTATGCATTCAGCTTTATTAAATATTTATTACAGATTTATGTCTTTAGCCATAATATCTTTGACTATTCACATATTGCTTTATGCACCATGGGTATGCATGTGTGTGTATTTATGACACTGGTTAAGGAATAATATGAGGCAGTCAACAATTAGTAAAATTGGGCAGTTACACTTCCTTAGAGGGGCACTATGTATAATTAGTGTCATGAGTAAATGAACATATTTGAAATTTCCAAATTAAATTTCATAGCAATAGCACAGAATTGGTTTTGTCAGATCCCGGAACACAGTCCTGCTAATTATTCTCTATTGTGGACATCAGCCATTGTTGAAATCTGAGTAGTGAGAATGATATCTACATTTGGTATTTGCATTGGGTAGGGATAAAGTGTCAGGCTGGGGCAGTTTATTAAAAGCTTAATACACTCTAATACTTCTTTACTTAAAATTTTTTATTGTTTATTTTTGAGAGACAGAGAGAGCACGAGTAGGAGAGGGGCAGAGAGAGAGAGGGAGACACAGAATCCGAAGCAGGCTCCAGGCTCTGAGCTGTCAGCACAGAGCCCAATGCAGGGCTCAAACTCACGGACTGTGAGATAATGACCTGACCCGAAGTCAGACGCTTAACCGACTGAGCCACCCGGGCACCCTGTACATTCTAATACTTCTAAGTCTAGGCACATATCCTGTCCCTTGCAAACTTCCATGCGGTACAGATCACGGTTTCTGGATGCTGGAGTCAGGAAGATGGGCGACCAAGGGAGAGACGGTGAAAATAAGCATAACTCTTGCTTGGTTCAAATTGTTAGTACTTTTCCCCTAACACAGGCATTGTTGTATTATTATGGCTTTTCTACTACCACTACAACTACTACCCATTCATTCATCTAATATTTCCTAGATGGCTCTTCATTTTATGGCAACATGGAACAGTATAAAATAAATCAGGCATAAAACCTGTCCTAAAATAGCATATTGTCCAAGTGGGAAGATGGAGTACAAATTATAAAAACTTATAGTTAATAACATGAAGAAGAGATTGTTTTTCTCCCTTTGGGGAAGCCTGGTTATGACAAGAAAGTGAGAAGGAGGCTATCCCAGGGCTGTGTTTGTGCAGTGCGAATACGGACAATGATTCTAGTATGGAGAAGACACCATGATGTGGTGAGCAAAGCGGGCAAGTTCCTGAGGGAGTCAGGATGACAGGATCCACAGCCCACAGATGCAATTTGATAATGGAGAAAGGTTTGAATTAGACTATGCAAATCCTCTTGCCAATGGAGGCTGGGCAGGGAAGTAAATGAGAGAAGCAGGATGCGTGTTAAGAAACGCAACAGGGACGAGAGATGGAGTGGAGCAGGCAGAGGGCTGGGGCCACTGGAGACCCTGGTAAGCGAGCGATGACACTCTCTGTCATAGCAGCTAGTCCTCAGCTCCGATGGACCACTGCTCCGTGCTAATGGAAGGCTGCCAACCGATCTGATGTTCTCAGGAGACGCTGGAAACAGAAAATTTCAGATCTGTCCTCCTAATTTTTAAATACTGGCAACTAATTCGGACATTTCAAAGAGTCTGTGGGCTACATCTGTTTGGACGAAAGCAGGATACATTTATGAGGCCACTTTTGGCCAGCTGGAGGCTGCAGTTGTGAATGGTATGATTTGGGGTGTTCAGGGGTTCAGGGATTCACTTGAACTTCTCAGTAAAGTGGGGCACAGAGGCTACCGATCTAGAAGACACACTTTCTTTTCTTACCCAGTTTTGCAATGTATTGAATGATATAAAAACTAATGCAACTGATTGAAGTAAGTTGCACAGGCGAAAAAAAATCCCACTTTATGAAGGACCTATAAAGCACTGAATTGGTTGGTTCACGTTATCTAAAAGCCTGTAGCATTTTTCTGTGCTCAAGTGAAATGAGATTTTTTTTTTCAAACGCCATTAAAATATATCCTGATGTTTGAACTAAAAGGTTTCACTTCTCAAAGGGATTTACTTTCAAATGACCCCTTTTCCCACCCTCAAAATTTATGCTGACTTTATATGGCTAAAATCTTCAGAGTACATAACATACTGAAATGTGACTTTAGGGATAACATTTTTAAAAGTAATTCATCACATGCAGTAGGCATGCATTAATTTTGAACTCTAATTTCTTATGATTCCACACCAAAGAGTGTTTTCATTGAATGCTGAAAGCTGGTGGCTATCAGTCTAGAGTCTTTTCTCAAAATGTCACTTTGCAAAATGCAGCTGAAGAAATAGATTATCTTAGTGGTTTTATTCAGTATTGATGTGGCAAAGTGATATTGACATTGATACCTGATAGTGGAACGATATGTGGAACCAATGAAATTAAATGATTTTAAAATTAATAATAAATATTTGCTAATTACATCTGATGACATGTATGTTATGGTCGTGACTAATTCCTATTCTGAAACAATGCAAATGTATCTATTGTACTTCTTTATTTGTGAACACTTTCTTCTAAACGAAACTATATTTCTATGTTCAACCTCAAGATTTTCTTTTTGCAGCAAGAATATATTCTTGTACAAAAGTACATTTTGATGTACAAATACGAAATTTTAGTTTTGGTAATCATATAGTTACTCTCAGACTTAGATCTTGATTTATTCTTTCTTATTTCCTTAGTGCTCAGCATAGGATTTGGCGGAGTCTGATATTTAATGGATATGAATCACTATGTCTCGATTCAATTAAATGATGCCTATTTTATGGAAAAGAAATAAAACAAACAATACAAAACTAGATGTTGTCCAAAGAAACAGAAAACATTGATCTAGATTTAGTTTCCAATGTTATTTTTGAGATGGTATCTTCATATTAAAAACAGAGACATTTCTGAATCACACCAATCAGAATTCCACAATTTGCCAGGTTGCCATGAACATACAAGTGATAGACTGACTCCCCTTGCTTTCGTTTACCTGGACTTTTCCTTCTCAAACTTTATTCACTCTCTTTACCCTAATTTATATCTTAATTTAACAAATTTTTGTCAATGGTCCAGTATGATTACTTCCATCCCCTTGTTTTGCCTCAGTATAATCATACATTGAGAAATGGCTCATGGAATTAAAAGTTTTAAAAAGATCTAAAACATTGGGAGTCTGAAATTTAAGGTGATTTGGAAATTAATTAATTCTTCATTATCTCCACATAATAAGAAGATATATTGTAGCGGGTCATAGACGCTAAAAATAAGAAAAACAGACAACTTTCTTTCTGGAAATGTTTCTAATAGAATAACTTTTCATTTACATGACAAGAGATTTGGGCTTGATAAATCCCAGTCTTTGGTATTTCATCCAATTACCCTTAAATTTCTCAAAGAATAATTTCTCCAAAGATTCTATGAATTACAAAGATTTAAAAATGAACACATATTAAAAGAATGTCTGCTTGACTTTGTCAAATTTGAATATAAAATATTTAAATTGTTTTGAAAGAATTCACACTTTCTTGTATCATGTACTAATGTTAATTTTTTCTTTTTTTTTAGCAAACACACTGTGACCATTATAGATCTCTTTGAAACCTATATATTAAGGACCCCAAAAGAGTTCCTAACACTTTGGATTTTGATTTTTACTCCATGAACCATAGAACATTTTTTACTCTTTGTTGTGTTTCAAGACAGAGGGTCTTGGTAAAGTTACCTTCTAGATATTTTGCTAATATGACAAATACAACGCAGGAGGTGATTGTATCATCACAAACTTACTCTTCTAAAAACACTGTTTACTTTATAACAAATATGCAAATGAATAGTTACTGTATTTGTGGATAGAGTTTTCAATGCCTAGCACAGTGCTTGGCATAGAGTAGGTATTGTGTGCCTGTGTGTGCGTATGTGTGTGTGTGTGTGTGTGTGTGTGTTATACGTGATTTAAGCTCTTTTAATGAATAACAAAGTACTTTATGGGATTTTAGTCCATCCACAATATTCAGCAAATTTTCCATAAAATGTTTGGTGTCATTCCTATTCCTAGTTAGAAGCACCTACTTAGTAACACATTCTTGGCCTGATCAGCTCCATTCAATTAAGTAACACTCAGGGTTGTCTCTTCATATACCAAAGTTATGACACTGACTATGGTTTTGACATCAGACTGCTATCATGAAATCATAGTTGTATCCTAACTATTCTGACTCTGAAATAGCAACAGTGAGCTTTGTATATTAATGGGTCTGAAACACAACTAGTGGCGTTATTAAATACAATGTGTATGATAAGCACTCTGAATAGGTTTCCTATAGAAAAAATTAGGCTGTTACCAACAGAAAGAAAGGTTAACTTCTCATGATGTGGATAGACAACAGTATATATATTACAACACGATTTATCTCAATCAACTAACTCTTACATTAAGTCCTTAAAAATAACCAGTAACTTTGCACATGACACAGCTACAAGTTCCATACATCTACTTGCAATTAAAATCAAAATCATATATAAAATATTGATTAAATAAGCTATTTTGTTGAGACCTCAAACTTTCTTTCCTGAATTCCATTCTGTTCCTCAAACTCAATTTATAAAGTAATGGGATCTTTTTTTTTTTTTTTTTTTTTTTTTCCGGAAGGATATCACGAGTCCCAGATAACTTTTACCACATGGACTAAAATTGCCAAACCTCTTCAACATTTAAGTCAATTTTTGAATTTCTGAATAAATTTAGCCAGGGATGAACTGTAGCACAGAAAAATATTTTATATGGGGGGAGAAATGTGTAAATATATTCAAAAAGCTAGACTTGTGAGTCTCTGGCTGGAAAAAAAAAATTCCAGAAATGTACAGGCAGCTTCAATGGCTTGAGTAACTCTAGTTTACATTAAAATAATTTCTCATCATAGTAATTCCATTAAAATTATTGTACCAAGTCAAAGGTCTGTAGAGACTACCGGGTTGTCTCTAGCCCATTTTGTCAGCCATGTCTACCCAGTAAGGAAAGAGAGAGGATGCCAGTTATAATTCAAGTCTGTGTGCTGTGCTTTCCTAAGTCAGTATGAAGACTTTAAAATGGACCCAATGGGCAATCTATTAGAATCAGAAAAGCAGATTTCTAGAATCACCTTTCAAAAATGATGCTATCTGGTTAAAACTGGCATTTTAAATGAGACAACATCTTTCCATTGCATGGCAACTATATAATAACCCAACTCATCAGAAACTAAGAAGTTCATTTTTTATTGTAATTTTTCTTATACAACTGCTTTTATCCTAATATTTGGCAATTCTAGGGAGCCTCACCAGTCCTTTGAATGAGAATATTTTGTTACAAGGAGAAACACTTGAAAGATGGTATTGTGAACATTTGAATGTCCTCCTTAAATAGACATTTTCACCTAAATATGCAGAAATGATACCCACGGCTGTGCACACACACATTTCAACTCATATATTCCCCATGAGTTATTTAAGGTATCTTTATAAGAGACCATTTTGACGCTAGGTTTCGAGCGAGCAGATAAGCTTCCACATTAGCACTCCCCAGACACAAAGCCCCCGTTCAAAAGAGTAAGAGAAACAAGCAATACTTACAGCACTTCAAGGTCCCGGAGAGCCCTAAATGCTCCATCTTCAATACAGCTGATCTGGTTGTAATCCAGTTGCCTGTAAATAGATTAGAAGAATATAAGTAAAAGGCTGGAGACTAGCAGCGCTGGGTGAAAAGAAGTCTCCTGAAGGGTCTCCGAAGCTCTGACTGCACTAACTGAAATGCTCTCAGAAATACACTCATCCGCTTAAGAATGTCACAAGCCATTCTGGCCTCGGTGCCGCTACTGAAATCTCTTTTTGTTCTGAACTGTCTGTGCAAATAGCAGCCCTTGGAAAGCTCCAGTAAATAATAACTGCACCTTATATTAAATGCCATAGGAATGCAATTTCATTACATCAAGAAAAGCTATCCATTAAGAGCTTTCAGCGTCATCTTGCTGAAACAATTTCATTAAGGTAAAGGACTGTAAATCACTTAATGTCACATGCACCCCCTCAGTGACCTAACAGAATCCATTTATCAGAGAAGCCCAGCTGCATGTTAATTTCACTATCCTTGGCAAGAAAGAGCAAGACTACTTTTAGGTTTCCTTCTTTTAAAAGCAGTTTTCCTTCGAGAACTCCCAGTCAAGAGAGAGAAATGAGGTCCCACACACCTCCCTGCTATTCTCAACCAGGAATACACTTTAGAAAGCCAGTCTTGTTCTACGTGAATATTCACCATTCCCATGATTTGCAATTGTTCGTTACATGCGAATTCTCTGCACTGTAAATATGACATACTTTTCAATTAAGAAACTTCCCAAATTTCCAGAAGTTTTTAAAGTATTAAAAATTGATTTTTTTTTTACTTTCCTCAAAGATGCTAATTTTAGCCCCAAACGCTAAGAACACATACTGCAGCAACATCATTAAAACACTACATATACCTTTGGCAAAAAGTTTAAAAGCTTTCTCAGTTCCTTCTAAATAATACAAAATGCAAACAAATGGATGTTCTCTTGTAGTTTGAGCACTTATTTGTTAAAATTTAAAGATGAAAACTAACAAGCAAACAAACGAAAACAAAGTTGCTCCAAATTGGTTAAGTTGGCTTTTCCTGCTAGTTGTTTCTGGAACTAAAATTTCCTTTATCCATGCCAAGGAATTTGTTTGAAATAAACAGCTAATAAGTATGAAATCCTATCTGTCCTATCTTTACATTGTTTTAATTTTTTTTTAAATAAGCAGCTGTTATTTAAACTAGTAGCTTGCTGCTTAGCGATATTCTTATTCCAGTAAAGAAAGAGCATTTTAATGGTTCACTTGAGACAGAAACAAAATGTTTGATGAACTAGTCAGGTGAGTTGTCAGTTCTTCATGAATTGGGAGGGAATGCAAATGTACAAGGATAAGACTATGATCTTCATACAAATGAATCTTGCCCTTGTTTCAAGTGCGAAATACACCAAAAGGGCTAATTTACATTTGAGGTGTGTTCTTAAAAAGAATTGTTTAAACATTCCTATAAAATAGTTGTTTCTCTCAGAAGGATACTGAATAAAGGTGCAATGATTTAATCCAGTGACTTTCAGAGGGGCCTCTTCAAATTCCTTACTTTAGAAATTATGTACATAGAGAATGTCTCATGAAATATACATCTCATTTTTAAGAAGGTCTCTAGGGGACATAAGACTACCTTGATGTCATGCAAATGGTACAATCTAGGACATGCAACATAAAAAAAAAAAACAACTCTGGAGAAGATATGCTTTTATTGCTTTTATAAACTAAGGCTTTCCCCAAATAATAGGTACCATCCATGCTACTGTAATAGCTTAAAGCATTTCTAGTTATTAGGAAGTAATGCAGAAGTATAATTTTATTTTCTAAGAAGACTTTTAAAGCTTCATGATGTAATATGGATGCTGTGGTTCCAAGAAAACACTTCCATTCTTGGGCACTTTTGATTTTTACAGATTAAATTCATTTAACAATTAAGTTAACAGCCTTTTTATTTTAAAGTGCTAAATATATATCTACACTACTATTCTCTAACCTCTTGAACAATTTATCAAAGCCATTTAAATTAGTACAATGGCATGAAGTGTTACCCTTGACACACTACAAAAGAGAAATTGTTTCCAGACAAATTGGCAAAATCTTTTAATGCTATCAAATTTGCCTAATGCAGTCTCCAGGTTAATCTGTAAAAGGGTGAGCTGTATGTTTGCCCATATCTTATTATCCTTAGCTGTCAATGTATAAATCAGTGCTGACACTGCTTCTTTTAAATCATGCATACTATACACAAAGGGGAAGCCCTAGCACACCAGAAAGCACTCAAGCGAATCTCGTTCTACAGGGACTGAAAAGCAGATTTCCCTATACCACCAGAAGTTGAGATGCTGCCGAAAAGTTGGCAATTTCACCCCTGTTCTACATGGCTCATGGTTACAAGCTTCTTCTGATTCTTAGCAGAAACTTAAGTCCTTCTTGGTGCTAAAGCATTAAGAATATCTGGCTCTCATAGGACCAAAGTTTTCCTTAAAAGTTTTCTGAATGCACCGTATCTCAGGCCATGCATCTTCTGAGAACAAAGGTATTTTTTTGAAAGAAAGTCACTCGTATGAAAGGACAAGCAAGATAATTTTTTCGTCAATTGGTGGACTTTGTTAAATCCAAAGGAGTGTTTACATGAAGTGTTGTGTCTGCTCTGACTGTTCCTGAGAAAATCTCTCTGCACTAACCTCCACTTGTCTGTATATGATTCAAGAGAAAGACTGTCAAAACTATGCAAAAGCATACTTTATTTCAGTGCTTCTGGACTATTTTTCTGCACTTTTTTTTTTTCTTTTCTCTTACCCACTTCACTTCCTTCTCTACTACCCTGCAAAGCCCGGGCACTTCTGCTGTCTGTAAATAGGAAAGGATCTGTTCTCAGCCATGCATTTAGTGACAGGTTGATTCTGTTTAGATGTGATTTCCAATAGTGCAATGAAATTATTCTGAATTAAGGAATTAGTAAGAGGAGAGGTTTTTTTTTTCCCCCACTTCTCCAAAAAGTAATGTTACAATTATTCAGTCAAACACGGGGCAAATTTGTTGATCTTTGGATAATGAGGGCACTAAGATACATCAGAGACAGCTTCAGGATTCTTTCCTGGCACAGGGTCACGTACCATTGAGAAGCAAGCTAGCACTTTTCTCATTTTCCGGGGAGAAAGAATGGTACAGATATTATTATCGGTGATACCTTTCAGACCTTCGGCCGACGAATCTTAGCACAGACTTCTGTGTCTTCTCTCCCGTACTTCCTACATCCTGGCTCCTCTGTTTCTGTGTGAATTCCAAATTCTATCTCCGTCTGATCCTTCACTGTCTTAGTTTGTAAGTGTGTGTTTTGAACCAAGTGCTTTATCTTTAATTTTATGAAAATGATGATGTTAAAAAGAATGGAAACCTTCGAGGTCTCTCTCAGGATTAACATTCTATGATGATCTTTTCATTCCTAACCACTTGTAATCTGGTCTCCTCAAGTAACACTAGCCTGCTCGGTTTAACTTTCCCTGCTACTGGTAAATGTAGTCTTGGGTAACGTACAAGAATCTCTTTCTCTGGCGGTATGACTCTGTGCCTCACACATGTAAAATTTCTAAACCTGATCTGATTGTCTTCAACACTAAAAATAATTTAGTCTAGTTTCATATTTGGATTAATTCTAGATACGAATATATATATATATATATATATATATATATATATATATATATGTTCATATAGTGCTGCGAAATACCAATTTTAGATATGGGCACATAAAAGACAGAAAGATCGAACATTTGCTTACTTGGCATACTGAAATATAACCAGATACTGCATTCTGTTACCTTTATGTTTTTTTTTTCAGGAATTTCCTGTTTTCTGTTATTCAAATTTGGATACCATACTGTTTGAATCACATATATAAAACTCACATTCCTGCATTAACTGCGGTTGCTTTTGTCCTTATCCATAGAAAATTTCATGTGTCACTTCAGCGTCCAAGCAGTAAAATCTTATTACTAATTTATTTTCTTTTTGTAAGAATTAGAACACCGTAAAATTTACTTAACTCTGAAACAATGCTGAACATAAAATGTCTTTAATAACTTTAAAGTCAGACAGAGTATCTCAGTCTTTCAACAAATATGCTCTGGTTTTCGAGGGTTTTTTAGGTACTAGAAATACTAGAGAAATACTAGAATACTAGAATACTAGAGAATACTAGAAATAGTTTAGGTACTAGAAAGTTTAGTTCATAGTCATACTACTATGAGTGGCAAACTACAGAAGTTTAGTTCACTTAAAATACATCAAAGTGATTAAAATCAACAGGAGGGAGTAACAACATTATGCCATTTGGAAAGAACCCTGATAAAACATATAAATCAAATGGGAGGAAAAGAAAAAGAATGCTCTAAGGATATGGGCACGATCTGTTCTATTTCTTCCCTTGTGTGTATAAAATTCAAGTCAATAGGAGTGCCTAAATATACAAATCCTATGCCAATAATGACTCTTTAAGAAGTAGTACAAATTTAAGTTATAATGTATCGAGAACATAAGAATAATATAAATTGACCCATATAAGTGAACACTGTAGGCAGAAGTTTCAGCAACCATGTCATTTAACCTCAGCATAAAAACAAATCAGTGCTAACTCAGGTATTAGTGAATAAAACAACCAAGATAAGGATTATCCTGAGGAATGTAAAATAATTTGTTATTTGGGAATTTAACCCTTCTGTAACCTTTCAAGCACAATGTTGTGGGGTTTTTTTCTTTTTTTCTTTTTTCTTTTTCTTTTTTTTTTTTTTTTTTTTGCACAGGAATAAAGAATCTCAGTTTTTATTGAAATAATCTATGGTATAAAGTTATATCCACTTGCTAATTTATTGGGGAAAAGCAAAAAGATAAGCTCTAAGTAAAATGGTATCAGAAAATGGAGGAAAAATTAAGTTGCCCTTCATGTTCTAGTAACTCTTGCACACTAATAAGAGGGGGTAGAAACTGCCACTGACAATAACAATTAGTTACATTTATTGAATGCATAGCAAATGGCAGGGTCTGTAGAGATGCCATCTCAGTATTCCTCA